ATGCTATTCATGAGATCTATAACCACAATGCCAGTGGGCTGAGCTTTGAGGAATTGTACAGGTGAGAGCTGTTCTTCGTATGAACCGGTACCCTTGAAAGCCTGCACATTAACCTCTCTGAGGAGTTGCAGAATTTGTCTGCACTTTCGATACTTGCTTGGATCTTCGTTTGCACCGACTATCCTTGGTTTGTGGGCTGTGGTACTCTAAGGTGGAGTTTTGTTTCAACCCTCATTTGGTGATGATCTATGAAATTAATTGTATATATTCGATACTTCACGTGACTAATTTAGTATCCCATCAATCATGAATTGGGATTTCAAAATGTTCAGGAATGCGTACAACATGGTGCTCCACAAGTATGGAGAGAAACTCTACTCAGGAGTTGTGACGACAATGACGCAGCATTTGCGGGAGATAGCTCGAATTGTTGAAGCAGCTCAAGGGGGTTTGTTTTTGGAAGAGTTGGATGTGAAGTGGCGTGAGCATAACAAGTCTCTTCAGATGATCCGAGATATATTGATGTACATGGATAGGACATTTGTGAACAATTTCAACAAGACCCCAGTGCATGAGTTAGGTTTGAATCTGTGGCGAGATCACATTGTGAGGTCACCGAAGATACGGGATCGGCTCTTGCGTACACTGTTAGACCTTGTGCACAGAGAGCGGACAGGAGAAGTAATCAACCGAGGCCTTATGCGGAACATTACGAAGATGCTTGTCGAGTTAGGGACTAACGTATATCAAGAAGATTTTGAAAGACCATTTTTGGATGCAGCATCTGATTTTTACAGGTTGGAATCTCAGCAGCTCATTGAGACTAGTGACTGCCCAGATTATCTGCGCAAAGCTGAGAAGCGGTTGAATGAGGAAATCGAAAGAGTAGCACATTACCTAGATTCCAAAAGTGAGGCAAAGATAACACAAGTTGTGGAGAGGGAGGTTATTGGGAACCGCATGAAACTTTTGGTGGAGATGGAGAATTCTGGTCTAATTTCCATGTTGATCGACGATAAGTACGATGATCTAGGAAGGATGTACAGTCTGTTCCGTCGAATTTCCACTGGTTTGCAAACAATGAGGGAGCTCATGACTGCCCACCTACGTGAGACGGGAAGACAGCTTGTTACTGATCCGGAAAGGCTGAAAGATCCAGTTGAGTTCGTTCAGCGCCTACTTGACGAAAAAGACAAGTACGATAGGATCATTCAGCAGTCCTTCAACAATGACAAGATGTTTCAGAACGCTCTGAATTCCTCGTTCGAATATTTCATCAATTTGAATATTCGATCACCTGAGTTTATTTCCTTATTTGTAGACGACAAATTGAGGAAGGGATTAAAAGGTGTGAGTGAAGAGGACGTGGAGTTGGTATTGGATAAGGTAATGATGTTGTTCCGGTATTTGCAAGAGAAAGATGTGTTCGAGAAGTATTACAAACAGCACCTGGCAAAGAGGTTGCTGTCTGGCAGGACTGTGTCGGATGATGCAGAGCGTAGTCTTATTGTGAAGCTGAAGACGGAATGTGGATATCAGTTCACGTCGAAACTGGAGGGGATGTTCACGGACATGAAGACATCTCGGGATACCATGCAGGGATTCAATGCAACATCGGCTGGTACTGAAGGGAACGAGGGGCCTACCCTTACTGTGCAAGTACTGACCACTGGTTCATGGCCAACTCAGTCAGGTGCCCGCTGTAACATGCCAACGGAGATTCTAGCAATGTGCGACAAATTCAAGATGTACTATTTATCAACCCATACAGGTCGGCGTTTGACATGGCAAACAAACATGGGTACTGCAGATTTGAAGGCCACATTTGGGGATGGAAATAAACACGAGCTGAATGTATCTACGTACCAGATGTGCATTTTGTATCTTTTCAATCAGGCTGACCGTCTTACGTATAAGGAGATTGAGCAAGCAACTGATATACCAGCACTGGATCTGAAGAGGAGTCTGCAATCGTTGGCATGTGTGAAAGGGAAGAATGTGTTGAGAAAGGAACCCATGAGCAAGGATATAAGCGAGGACGACGTTTTTGTATTTAATGACAAGTTCTCTAGCAAGTTTTACAAAGTCAAAATAAGCACCGTCGTGGCTCAGAAGGAGAGTGAACCTGAGAAGCAAGAGACACGTCAAAAGGTCGAGGAAGATAGGAAGCCTCAAATCGAAGCAGCTATTGTGAGAATCATGAAGTCAAGACGTCTCCTTGACCACAATAACATTATTAGCGAGGTAACGAAGCAGCTCCAAGCTCGCTTTATGCCCAATCCTGCTGTGATCAAGAAGCGCATCGAGTCTTTAATTGAGAGGGAGTTCTTGGAAAGAGATCGCGTAGACCGAAAATTGTATCGGTATCTCGCTTGAAGCGAGTAGGTGCAGAACTAATGATGTGCTGGAGATGAGCAACAGATGTGCTACAGGTCATTACATCAGGTTTTCCTCCTCTCTGGAGCTCTTCTGTCACAACCTTTTCTAGGATGGTAGTATCTTCTGTCGGTCATCTTACTGCTGCATTTCGTGTTTACTCCAGTCTCATTGCTAGATCATCGGCTCTCTACGTTGATTGTCAGGACTTTCGTAAACCTGTTCAATATTTCTTTTGAGTTTCGACATTCAAGTAGGTGGGGGTACATTATAAAAGCGAGGATCAACTTCACAGAGCCTAACGTTGATTTAGGATTGTTTATGTCTCACAATGACTCGGGGAAAGAGGCCTGCACAGGTGTATCTTGTAAGGTAGTCTTGAGCACTAGCAGGGTGTACATAATATTTGCTTATTGAATGGGTGAAGGTAATGAAAAACAATGTAGGTTATTTCATCATGTAGTTCAGTAGCTCAGACCACCTTTTCTTCGATTACGGGATGTATGGTTTTGTGAAAGCGTGGGCTGCACCCATTGTGTGGTGATTTTAATCGTTGGCCTCCAGTGTAGAGGAATTGACTTCTGGTCCACCAAATCTTCCGTGCTCAGAAGACAATGGTCTTTGTCTTGCTCTTTTTTTATAAAAAATAGCGCACTGGGAAAATGTCACATGATTTTCACAAACCATGTATTGGTTATAGACGGAGCCTCATGAACTGTTCTTTTGAGAGCTTTTGTTTAATTAATTATTTATTTATCATACATGGAGAGCTGTTTTGATCACATACTCACTTAATTTTATTGAATCATGATTATATATCAATTTACAAATCGTTGAATTGATGTATATTTCCAGTTATCAACATGAATGTTGACAAAGTCTGGCAGCTTCACATCCGATTGTCAGACCAACTATAAAGAAAATATATGACGTGTCTATTATGAGTAATTAAACCCAAGCTAGTCACATACAGACCAGCATCAACATTTTAAAATTGATTTCTGTGTAGTTATTTTGTAAGTCTCATTATATGAAAATTTGAATGAGCATGGTTGATACTATTTCTTTCCTTGGTAATTTTCTTAGATGGTAAGTTTCAAGAATTTGATTTTAATATATTTCTCGGCGATGAATTATTAATGTATGAAATTCTGTCGTTAATTCTACCCATAAGTAAATGAAATTATTATTCCTCTTTTGTTGTGACATACAACATCTTGTACAAAACATTGTGCATTGAAATTAATTAAGAAGTAAAACGTTTTGTTGAAGAAAATTGTGCAATACTTATAAACGAATAAATATATAAAACTAAGTTTCTAACTTTGGATAATTGGATTTTTAAAATTATTTCCATGTAGACAAATTTATCTTGTATGAGATATCGTTTAAAAAAGGTTATTGAAATTTTATACCAACATTTGGTAGTTTTTCAATGTTTCGAAAGCACTGTCTTATAATATTTATTGCTCTTAAATTTAATCATCAAAGATGTTGAGACTTGGTGGAAAAACTGTTGGCTTGTCATAGTTTAAATTTATGATTTTTTTTTTTTTTTTTTTTTTCGCAATGGTAGACTGTATTAACGAAATCTTCAAATAGATATATCACTATATAAAGATGCAATCATGAAATATTATCACAGTCAATAATAACAGCATTTCGTGAGTTATTTACATTCTATACAAATTATTGAATTTTTCCCAAGACTGAAGTTGATTGACAGCTTTTTTCAATCTCTATAATATTTGTTTTTAATTAATAATTATCATACATTTTTAAAACTTATTATCGAGCAAAAAACATGACTCACATATTGAGCAAATTCTGAAAGATATTTTCATGGTCCATACAACAACAATGTCATTGTTGTTTAGAATTAAAACAGTATTAACCAAAAGAAAAAAGAGTAAGATAGAATGAAACGAACAGACGACGGATGAATGAACGAACGAACGAACGACAAAGATAACTTGTCGGTACGTCATGTATCTGCGTCACGTATCCCCGCCGGCGAGATAAGCTCGGATCTACAACCACCCATTGTGACCACTCACACTCTAAATGCGATCGAACAGGGTCGTTGGTCCCTCTCATCTAGTTTTGAATCAGAAACTTGTGGTCGCGCAGCAGATCTCTGTAGAAAGCTGAACGATTCCAGATCGTTGCCGAGCGATGCCAGTGAAGAGATACAAGTCTTCAGGGATTCAGGTCATCAGTTATTCAAGTCATGAGAGCTCATTTCTTCAGAGAGAAAAACGTCAATACGTTTAGCATTTGCTGCTCTCGAGAAATAGCATACAAAAGATGGTGTACACTGCATAGGGCGACCACGGCGTTCACTGTAATGGCACCTGGGTGTGAAGCATGCGGTGGGCTTCGTTGCTAACATGCTATGGGATCGGGATTAGTATAGCACTGTATGCACACAGAATCTCCTAAGACAGAACGTGAGTTGCGTAAAAAACTTGGGAGAAGAACTGACAGTAAGCACACGCTGCTACTTCTTCTTACTGAACCAACGACTCTTGGTCATGGCGACGTCTGGGTTTCGGACTTTGGAAGCAGACGGTGCGCCCCACCTGTTACCAAGTTTGGCAGAAATACTCCACAATGAGTCTCGCAAGGAGGAGCTGCTGGAAGTTTTGGTGGGAGCTGGAACAGACAAGGCATTGCTGGTGCCACTGGTGGTGATACTTGCGTCGCCGCTCGACATTATGGTCTTCGACTTCAGGAATGAGATCTTGGAACCCTTCGCTATCCCGCTGGCAAGAAGCCAACGAGAGCCTGATTGCAACTGTTTCGGCGTGCCCCACTCCACTGGGTTCTTGTTGTCACTGGATGGTTCATCACTAACTTTCAGTCCTGCTACAGTTATTTCTTTGATTTTGAAACTGGGTTTCTTAGGACGGGTCTCCTCATCGTCGAAACCTTCGTGGTTGCCGGTGAGGGAAACCCGTCTGCCGAACTTCAATTTGGGCATGGGGGGAACTACGACTCTCTCCGCTTGTACAAGAGCCATCATAGGTGCTCCGACAGGCTCGAAATTCCGGAGAGGGTCCCGCAGCTGCACTAGCATAGCTAGCGTGATGGTATTACCCATGAACCCTTGGGTATCGTCTGACCCGTGTTCATTCTGCCTCCCTCCTTGGTTACGGTTCTTCTGTTGGCTGGGCACAATGTCCCCGTGAGCAGCATGATGAGCGGCAACTAATGCCATCGCGTTGCCGTCGTCCTCGTCAACCACACCGGCATCCAGTCTCATCCATTCGTCCAAGGAAATGGCCATCGAGAAGTCATCATCGTCCAACGCTCCGGAATTATCTGCACGCCCTCCTTCTAAGATCCTCTTGTTCGCTGCTGCATCGTCGAGAGACTTTCTGCTTCTCTGTGTCCTGCTATAGCTGTCTATGGAAGACCTTTCCCAAGGACGGGGTTGCACCACATACGGTGCTTCCTCTTCAGCCATGTCTAATTGAATCTTCAGGCCGTCTAGAGTTAACGGTTCCAGCTTTTGCATCGCCATGGGTGCCAGGTCCTCCAAAGACATGTACGCGTCCTCACTCTGAACGGAACTGCTTCTTCGCCTTGCTGAGGGAGGCGGCCCTCCAAGACTGGCGCGACGACCGGGTGTCCTCGACAGTGAGTAGGCAGATGATCCGCCATAGTTGCGGTGAGTATCTGAAGTATACTCCAAATTAAGTCGGGCATGCACGCCCTCTGAAGATGCATACCTGCATAAGACCCATTGCAAAACTGAGAAGTTGAGAGGCAAACGAGCTTGATGAGTAAGAAGTTTAGGTTGAACAACATTCAAAAGGGACGATCAACAAGTCTCCGCAGTCAGACATCGTTTTCCTCTTCATGACTTCCATCAGCAGTTATCAAGAATACTGAACTAAACAGACGTCAATGACACGACTTCTCGGTTACCTTCAATTTAACAGATCTGTGTATGAGCCTCTCGATCGTCCCCGTTTAAAGCAAAGGCTGGTAATACAAGGCGGTAAAGTGCATGAAAAAAGAGAACTAACCCAAGTTGTTCTTGGCCCTGTCGAGTTCCTTGAAAGGAAACAAGCCCTTCACTTGCGATTTGCTCCACACTCTTTCCTGTGATATCATCCAAGGGCATTGTCAACATGGCCTGATTCGTCATTCCATCCATGCCCACTGCTGCCATCCGTTGTAAAACAGCCAAGGAGTTGGCTCCGCTATCCATAGGTACTACAACAGGTTTGGACACCTGCATGACGAGGTTGCTGCCGCTGGCTTCCTGAAAATTCAGGGGGCTCATCGACCTCAAAGAACCCCCGCCTCGGGTGGGAACCTCGGAACCAAGACCATAGCCCAAAGGAGGAGGGTCATACGACACCATGGCGTAGGGGTTGCCAGTTTCATTCGTAAGCGAGGTCCGACGAGACCCCTCAAACGATTTCTTGTTTAAACCCCACTCTTGCATGAGAGCCTCGGTCTCTGCATCTTCGAGCATTTTGACTTTGTTCTTACTGCGCATTGTTTGAGTTGCCTTTTCAAGTTCTGATTCGGCAGCTTCAACGATAGAGGCTAATTCAACATCTTCCCCACCACCCCAATCTGCACACATGATCAGACCCTCACTGGTTATCGACGCGTATGCTGTCGACAAGCCTAAGCTAGCATTCAGTAGCTGCGTTTGAAACAATTCACGCAAAAAAAAATACCTCACATCGGCTGATTTAAGATACGGTAATGTGATAATACGTTCCTTTATCAGGTAAGATGGAGCAAACAATACAATCACAACCACAACCAATCGAACTCCCGAAAATCTACTGTAGGACCTAAGGAAGAAAAAAAAAAAAAAGATACTCCTCGATGTCTAGTGAACTGCAATATGTATTCGAATCAAGCAAACTCACCTGAGTTGTTTTCCTTCTTTGGTTGCATGCGTATATTGAGAGATATTTTGGTAGGTTTAGGACCGGGACTACGGCGAGTGGATACACCATCTAGAGAGAAGTCTGGAACCTCAGACCTATCAATAGAAGATGGTAACACTGGCATTTTCATATTTATCCCCAAACCGCCATCAGTAGAGGCCTGCCTTTCAGACTGCTTCGACAACAAAGTGCGAGAAGATGCCTGTTCACTGGCAGGTGATGGTCGTGTTTCACTTGCCAGAAGGCTGAGAAATTCACCCTCAACAGGGTCAAATTCATCATCTGATACTGGAGCCTGGTTGAGTGGTTCTCTCGAATCCAACTCACCTCCACCAGGGAGCAAAGAGAGAAGTTCTTTCTCCGTCATATCCTCTTTCTCATCCGACTCCTGCGCCACTCCACCCAGAGCGGCCAGAAGCTCTTCCACTTCTTGTTCGTCGTCAATTGGTCTTGATGTATGCATGGCAGTGCGAGAATCCTTGTCATAAGTAGCCCGTCTCTCGACTACCTTCGCCTGAGTCGGAACATTTCTTGCAGCTCTAGGTGAAACTTCCTTCGCATCTGTACACGTTTCACATGAGTCTTTTAGGATTTGTTTCAACAAACATAACTGTCACGTTGCCTTGCCAACCACCAGTCATTCATCTAGGTGTGAATTACACGGAAGGCACTGAATCTGCCCCAAACCCAGCATCAAATTCGTAAGCGAATGCCGTCCGGCAAAAGTCATTCACGATGACATTCCAAGACGGTCTGCTCTACTGTCGTAGAAGGCGCGGTAAGAGTAGGTACGAATCGAGGGACATGTCCCCTAAACTCAAGCAGCACACGTCAGGTTCACTTGTTTTCGCTGAGAGAGTCAGCGCAAGACGGTGGAATTATAACTGTTAAATTGTGACTGCGTACCTTCTTCATATTGACCCACTGCTTCTTGAGACGCGTTCACATCATACAGTTTGACGTCAGAGAACACAGTGACGTTTCGTGCTGTCTGTTTTCCTTTCTGTCTGTTTCATGCTTTCATTCGGAGGCATCACAAATTCTACTGAAGGCATTGTCCACCGACAAGCTTACTTCAACCCCTTTATCAACAACTGGAAGTTATGACTCACCTTTCTTTTCCCCCACTTCCTCTTCCCCTCTACCTATGCGAACGTTCTCATCCGGCTCGTCATGTTAGTGTGCGCGTGTGTGCAGCCCCGGTAGTCTCGGCATTAGAATATGAATGCAGGTCTCTTTCAACAGTACCATAGGGGAGAACATGCTTTACCTAGATTCAAACGCTCCATTTCATGATGGTCTGCTCGATGTTCTGACGATGAAGGAGAGTGATAGCCCTCGGAGGTGTATCGAGATGGCGATGCATGACTAGAAGTAGGAGAACTACTGAAAGATCGCGAAGCTCGCAAGACTGGCGATTCTCCGAATTTGGAGCTTGGTGTTCTGGAGGAATTGTGTGAATCTTCCCTCTGGAACTCACATCCGAAAGTGACGACTAGAGTAGCAGCTTGGGCCTTCCCTGAGAGCTTGAAACTTGTCGTCCAAGATCCCCGCTTGTTGTCGTCGTCATCATCCTCCATCGTCTCTGGCAACAATCTAGTGAGGTCCAATTTATGTTTCCCGAGATTCAGCTCATCAGCTTCGAGTGCAATTACAGAGAGTGTAAACAGCTTCGACTCCCACTTCATCCCCTTTGAACCATTTTTGGCCCCATGTATAGAGCTCCTTATGCGAAGCGTCTCTTGAAATTCTGCGTGCCCTCGGAAAACCCTAACGGGCGTGGTCTGGATACCAGCGTCATCTCTCTTTGAGAAAGAAACTGCCAGCCGGAGACCGTTCATGGAGGCAGGCAAGCCTTCAATCCCATGCACATAAACCGTGAACAGACAATTGTATTTCTTCTGTCCTACATGTGCGATGGATTGGAACGGCTTCCATCCCCACATTCCCTTCTTCTTCTCGGCTGAAACTTCCACCTTCTTCCTGACATCCGCATTACTATCCTTGAGTCCACGAATGTTGCTCGCCACGGGGGAGTTTTTACTACGCCCCCTCGGACTTTCATTCCTTTCCTTCGCAACCTCTGCCATCAGGCCCATATCCAGCAAGTAACCACTGGCGCCTTTAATTGACGCCTGAGGCGACCTCCTCAACTCTTCGCTACGATCGCTCTCCACCGTCTCCCTCCTCACCACTGCTCTGCCATCACCTTTGCTCTGTCCTGCATAATACAACGCCTGATTCAGCGCCTCCAAATCCTGCAACAACTGCCCCTGCACGGGCTGTCTTCCTCTGGGCGACGAGCTAACCGTTGTCTGCACCATCGTCTATCACACTCCACTCTTCTCGTCTCTTCAGCAATCCCAACTCCTTCTCCAACAATCTACATCACACCCACTAACTCAAAAATTCATGACACTCATCCACCTCCCCGTAACGCCGGCTCTAGCCGCACGCTTCTTCTGTCACGAAACCATCACCAGTTGACCTGCACTCGAACCGCGATGGATATGAGAAGAATCCACTCAATCATCTAGCCATCCACAGGCAACAACAACAACAATTCCCGAGATAGATAGAGGACGAGGAGGCGTGGCAATCTATCTGATCACTACTCGTGCAGTCAGTCGTTGCGATAGCTCCAGTTGTAGCCAGAGCCGAGGGACTTAGCAACATTATCGCAAAAGACAGCCCGACCAACCAGATCCAACGCTGAGCTGCGCTGCGAGACAACAAACAAAGAAGAGGTGGTGTTGGTGGCCATCCGCAATCCCATCACGCACCTTTTCCACGAGCTCTCCGTCTCCCTGGTCGTTACCCAGAGGAAGGCCGTTTTGTGGGTTTGGAATCCACGCCGCGCACGCTCGAAGCTCCTCATCAGTCCACACCGCGAGCAACGCGACAACGACGACGACGACGAATACAAAAGCTGCCTTCACATATAAAGGGGGGCACATTCTTCCACTCTTACCCACTCATGGTGGAATTATATATATATATATATATATATATATAAGTAGTGGAAACCCGTGTTGTTGGCCATGACAAATAATTACTGAAAATTACAATGGAAAGCTTTTGAGCTTCACACCTAGTGATCTTGCAGTGCTACTCTCGGAAATCTATAGCAACAACGTGCAAATTTTGATCTTGAGTTGATCTTGAGTTGAGTTTTTGCTTTGTCTTTACTATGCAGCTAAGTGTTTGGTTTATTCAGTTGGATTATCTCTTGAACTGTTTTATATAAGAGATGTTTTATAGATATAGTGTAAATTGTATATGTTTTAAATATATTTTATAAATACATTATAAATTGTATGTTTATATATATATATATACATATATAGTATACATACTGCATTGTTATGTTAATCTTTGACTTCGGGTATGGAAACAAATTGGTTTTTTTGTGGGTAGTGTATAAAAATATGGTTTTTAGGGCTTGTCTGGTGGGCCCCTAAGAGCCCAATGCAAACAAACATGGATGCTGAAGAATAAATTAATAAATAAATAAAGGATTAGATATTTGTTTTGCTTTGCTTTACAGGCATTTTTTTGAGCCTTGATTCTAGTGTAAAGTGACTGTGTTGTTGCTATTAATGGGGTTATCACTTTATCCTGCTTTTGCTTCTTTCGCCTTTAAAGTAGGCTGGTTTTTCTGTGCTGTAACTATTTTTTAATTAATGCGAACTGTGTTTTGTATTCATTGTTGTGGATATATGTATAGTCGGTTAGTTAGAGGGTATGTATATTTAGTTAGAGTGGTGTGTCTTCACAACGTGAGGTTTCATGAAGTCCCATGTGATGATAGTTTTAAATTAGTGTGAGATTGACAGTGTATTTGTGTCCTTGTTGAGGATTTTTGATGTTTAATTGGTATGAGTTACGATGTAAATTATCACATTTCTATATATGTAAAAATCAAAGTTCAGATATTATCCTTGCAATTGTTTCAAGTTATTTGCTGCATTTGTACAACTGATTTCGGTAATTAATCCAGAAAATAAACAAACAATGACAAAAACAAAAAAAGAAAAAAAGGAAACACTCTTTTTGAATAATTTACATGCTGATCATGAATACATATTGCTTCCAAGCTTTTTCTAACAAAATGTCATATAATTGGTATTTAATGTGGTCACTGAATTATAGATGTACTTGAGGATTGCAAAAACAATGTTACAATCTAAGACTTTGTTTATTTGTAAGACTATATCATACACTTAAAATACACATAAAATTTTCTGTTGTTAACTATTAATGTCTTAATTTTTGAAAACATCTTACAAGTGAATGTAAGGAACTTGACAAAAGAGAACAACAAAACCAATAAATATACCAAAAAAACAAATATCACACAACCAAATGGAAAACGTTTTTAAATGTTACAAGCAGCCTAATTTTTTGCTGGTAATTTCTAAACATTTATCTTTGATTTTAAAAATGATATAAAATAAACAAATAAACCAGAAACAAAGCTCTGTATTACATCATATGTTTTGGTTGCCAATCAACAAGATAGTTATTCTTTGTTTTGTTTTTAGGCTAATGAGTGGTTCACAATGAATTATGACAATATTTGGGAAGTTTCCAAGTAGATTTTTAGACAAAGTTGATTGAATGCATTAAAAAGAAAAGAAGCAAACATTCCCTTTGTTACATGGTTTCACCCCCAAGCATGTGCCATTTTCCAAGGGAAAAAGCATCCCTTCTTTCAAAGTTATGGGGATGTTTTGTTGAATTCTTTTCACATGGCCTTATTATCCTCTCCTTGTAAACATATGCGTTAGTTTAGCAAAAGAAAAAATAAATTAAAAAATTAGGATTCTTTCCATTTCACAAAGGTTTTGTTTTGTGGAAGTTCATCTTTGTGCCCAATCATCCAATCCACAAGTAGCCCATGGTTTAGTAGTAGCCAAATACAACTTTTTTGTCACTTGTGTGTGCCCAATGGACTAAGCCCACTTACTTGGATTCTTTGAGCACCAATTCAATTTGCATAGATTTATTGAATGCAAAAAAATCCACAAACTTTTGGTGCTCATGTTTTCCACATGATTTATTATCATCCATGTAAGCAATCTCCTTCTGATATCGGTGGGGTTTTATTTGAATTTTGAATTTTGAATTTTTTTTGTATCTTGATGTGAATTTTAGAGATTGTTTCAAAACAAACCATTTGCTTGAATTGGTTTTAGTTAGTTTGAATGCACTGCTTTGAATTTTTCCCACATGCAAGTGTAATTGTGGCAATTCCAATTTCTAGATATCCATGATTTTGATGAGATTCAGATAAAATTGGGAATGCAAACTGGTTGCTCAATTTGGCAATTGTAGGCTTCAGTGTTGATTTCTTAAAGGGTTTAAGGTGTTCATTTACTTTTTTGTAGGTTTCAAGGCATACATTTTGGGCCACTGCACTGCAATTTTATTTATTTATTTGTTTATTATTATTTTTTTGGTATATGCAATCAATGGCAGCAAGTTGCTTTTACTAGCAAATTATCTCACTTCTGTTGTGAAAAAGAAACAAAAAATTGGCTTGAAAAAACACAGGCCATAGTATAGTTGTTAATCAATGTCTTTCAGTACTAAATTTAGAAGAATTAATAATACTTTTACAAAAAGAAGATGTGTTGGTTATAAACTTTGCAATGCCAAGATGTGTATCTATCTATCTATCTATCTATATATAATACTAACTTAAAGTATACTATTAGAGATATATGTCATTGGGTGAAATAATTTGAGCATCATGGTTTTGAAAATTTTAATAGAAATATAATATCAAGATTATAATATAAATTTTTGAATACTATGATAGATATTAAGACGTTATTATATTTATGCAACAACAGGAATACTTTTAGTTTTCAATAAGTTTAAACGTGATGATGATAAGAAAGTAAAGACAAATAAAGACACTTTGAATATTAAAAGACAAAAGAATACAAAAATATAGTTTAATGATTCTTCACCATTAAAAAATCAAATGTTGTAGGTATACAGTGTAGTCTATAAAGTCAATTGTCTTTCATGTACTTAGTCTTAATACATGCCAGTGTTCTTTTTAGCTATCTATGTTAAATAAAAATAACAAAATCTACTTATTTTAATTTTATGTTATGTTGTGCAAGTGTTGCTAACAACATACAAATACAAGAAATTTCAATTAAATAATTATTTTTTTGCTAAAATTAAACCTTTCCTTAAAACATATATATATATATATATATATACATATATATAAATTATTTACCCTGTATTATATATTGTTACTACTTTTTTAACAGTTATATTTTGTACATCTATTTTAAACTAATTGTCTTTAGATAATCACACCAAGTCTTATATATGATTTATACAAAGACACTTTTGTTTATTGATGTCTTTTATTTACGTTGATCTTTCAATCTCATATGGTTTTTTGAAATGCATAAGACTCACTACTTTATGTAGTTATAGAAAATATTATTTAAAAAAATTGTGATTTTTATAATTTATAACTTGTTCTATCTTTTTATATCAACTATTTCAAATAAATTGGAATCTAAGATTTTCTATAAGAAATTTTAAGTTTCGAAAAAATCAGAACCTCTACCTTAAAAATATCAAATGTAATTTTGATTGTTCTTCTTTTAACATGGACACCATCATTCAACATAATTTTTTTTAATCAAAATTTACATATTTACTCACAATTATTTGATTTTTGCTTAAATCTTAAGTTTTGTATTTTTTTTGCAAATTTTCTTTAATCTATGAAGATGCATTTTTTAACCTCATAATTCAAGTTTTATTATTTTTGTATTAAATCTCAACTTAAATTAGATATCTAAAAAGATAAACCTTGAAAAATTCTTATGCATATCACTCTAAATTTTTCATATGGCTTATATTGAATAATAGTAGATAGAAATAAGTTCACAAAAATATCATTATTATTAAAAATAATAATTCATATGTACTTTTTAGCTTAATATTGTTTTATATACTCTTTATGTTTTCAAAAAAAAATCATTGATTAATTTTACTATTCTATTTTGTTGAAGAATGCTTAAGCTTGTAAACTGATGAATATTCTATCTTTGAAAAATTTGTAAGATTATTATAATTTCTAACCCACTTCATTTTCTAATTTCTAATGCTTTAATTTATAATGTGTTTTTTTGTTATTATATTTCGTTCTTGAAAATATAAAACATCTCAGATGTTTTATATTTTTTTAATTATATGTATCAATGCCTTTATTGAATTATTATACAAAATATTTTTTAATATATATATATATATATAGAGAGAGAGAGAGAGAAAGAGAGAAATTATTAATACTACATTTTCAATTGATACATCCCATGTGATTTGTTAGATAACAAGCTGATAATATATATATATATATATATATATATATATATATTTTGCACATTTTTTACTTTATTTTCTTTAAAAAAGAGAAGTAGTTGACAAAAATACATTGAATGTTTTATAAAAATACAAGTTATAATTTTTTATTTTATTTTATTTTATTTTTTAAAAATTCTTACATCAAAAATTATTAAATTATTTTTATCTTATTTAATTTTTAAAATTTTATTTAATTTCTAAAAATAAAAATAATTTTCTTAATTTTCTATTTTTAGAATAATATTGGAATTAAATATTAGACTACAAAATACACCTAAAGCATAGAAGTGTATTGTTGAGTCAATTTAAGTGCACTTCTATGCTTAAGGTGCACATAAGTAAGAAAAAAAAATGTTCTTGTGTGGTTTTTTAATTCTAAAGTATTAACTTTAAAAGAAAGTACATTCTTAGAAGGTATAGTTTTGTAAATATTATGCATTTAGAAACTATTACTAGACAAGCATTGATAAGTTTTTGTTGATTTTATTGAAGGTATATTAAATTATATATACTTAAATTTGTAG